CTATAATGAATGGTTCTCTCTTTTTAGTGATATTAACAATGTTCAGAGGGTTAAGCTGATCCATCTTCTATAAAGTGCCTCATCAGCTTTTCCTGATGGCTTCATTGCCTAGACCCATATTTTACAGGAAGATGAAAAATGGTGATATTCAATGTCAATCACCCCTCCTATTTATTAGTTGGCATGCTTCTATAAATAAATTTCCCTCATCAAGTAATTGTTCACCTCAGAACATTCTGGGGGAAAGACTAGATGGATTCTTTCCCGTCATTTAAGTTTTCCAAATAATGTGGTGGTCCCCTAGCATCTTCAAAAAGTGTCCAATGAGTTATTTCTTTTAATATCAATATGAACTATAGAGTTAATATATTGCAATCAACTGTAAATATTTCCCCTTTTTTATGGGTCAAATTACCCCATGTTGACCCCTGCAAGTTCTATCAGAGATCTTTCCATAGCACTGAACATAATTTTTTTTAAAGATTTATTTATCTATGCATACAAGAACTGGGGTACAGGCCAGAGGTGTGGGGGGGGGTCAGAGGATTCACCAGAGACAGAGTGGAGAACAGAACAGGCAGACTGACAGAAACACACTGCTGAGAGATGCAGTGGGCGAGTCAGGAGAGGTCTGCTGCGCCATGTGGGCAGCTCCCTGGCAGGGGATTGAATCCATGCTGCAGTGGCTGCAGACAGCCTCATAGGCTGCATCTTAACCCCTTGCACCACCAGGGAGGCCCTGAATATAAGTTTTTATTAGCTTCCTTGAATTCAGGTAAGACCAGACCTCTCAGGCACATCTTGTATATTTCCTGCCCCAGAACAAGAATCTGCCATTTCTTTGATTCCTGTCACTATAAAATGAAAAGATTACATAGCCTTTTGCTACAAGATTGCCTGTATTTTAGCCTTTAAGTAGCCAGAACTAGAAAACACGATTTTTAAGAAGAAAGTATAAGAAGAAAGATCATAAAACTGAGGACTATGTGGCAATAAAATTAGGAAGAAAAGATCCTCCCCATAGCCCACTCCCACCTATGCCCTACAGCATGAATGAATCTCCTGAGCATACTGCTGAACAAAAGAAGTCAGACAAAAAGGAAACCATACTGAGTAATTCCATTTTATATAAAGTTCAAAACCATGGAAAACTAATCTATGATTTAGAGTAGCCACCATTGCAAGGAGGGAAAGAGAAGCAATGAGGAGGAAGCATGGGGATGGTTTCTAGGAGCCAGTGAGGTTCTGCTGTTTAATCTGAGTTTTGGTTATGATTACTTCATGCTATAACACTACATTACATGCTTAAAATATTTGCACTTTTCTATATGTTATAATTTAATTTAAAAAAATTTTTTTTTTTAACTCATAGCAGGAATTTAGAAAACCTAAATAAGAGACCAGGAAAAAGACTAATCAATGCAAAGTAATAATCAAAATCAACAAGCAACTATAAACCAGAGACACACTACAGGGTTAGGGGGGTGAGATGGATTAGGGAGGGGCGGGAAGAGGAAGAACTAGAGTCAAAATAAGGGGAGGGTGCAATTGTATGGGGAATATAACCAAAATGAAAATGCATACATTGTACAAAGATGAAAAATGATGTAAGAATTATATAAAATAAAATATTAAAAAAATTTTTTTTAAAACAGCATAAGGGAGGGGCCTCCCTGGTGGTGCAAGGGGTTAAGCACCACACGATGAAGCAATTTGCAGCCTCTGCAGCATGAGTTCGATCCCCAGCCGGCCAGGGGGCAACCCACATGGCACAGCAGACCTCTCCTGACTCGCCTGCTGCTCCCCTCAGCAGTGTACTTCTGTCAGTCTGCCTATTCTGTTCCCCAGTCTGTCTCTGTTGAAGCCTCTCACCCCCTCCCCACCCCACATCTCTGGCCTGTACCCCAGCTCTTGTGTGCATAAATAAATAAATCTTTAAAAAAAAAAAAGCATAAGGGAAATATGGTAGATATAAAGAAAACTATGTAAACAACAGAAAAGAACAGATATAAAAATGATTATAGATATGTCCATTATACCTCAATTTAAAGATATATTTTTAAAATCAACATGTATCTTTGCTGATTAATGGTGAGATTAAATAAAGAGTAAGAGAAATAGAATTTACAGAAATAAGGGAACATTTTGATATTTTAAAAATGACAGCTAATAAAAATGAAAGTGCTTAAGAAGGTAGAAAAATTATTATAGAAAAAAGTTAGATATGGGATGTAAAGAAGAGTCAAAATAGTCATGACTTATATTCCTAAAAAAGTGAACAGGTGAGAATGTTGTGACAAAGGAACTCTCCTACACTGCGGTGGGAGTGCAAACGGGTCCAACCACTATGGAAAGCTGTCTGGAGGTTCCTCAGTCTACTAAAAATGGAGCTACCATGTGACCTGACAATTCCACTCCTAGGGATCTACCCACAGGACACAAAACATTGATTCAAAAGAACACCTGTAACCCTATGTTTATTGCAGCACTATTTACAATAGGTAAAATCTGCAAACAACCCAAATACCCAAAAATAGATGACTGGATGAAGAAAATGTGGTACATATACACCATGGAATATTATTCAGCAATCAAAAAAGATAAACTCTTGCCATTCGCAGCAATGTGGATGGAGCTAGAAGGAATTATGCTCAGTGAAATAAGCCAGAAGGAACAAGAAAAATATCGGATGGTTTCACTTATAGCAGGAATATAGGGGAACCAAATAAGACATCAGTGTAATAAAAATGATGACAGTACAAAACACAACAAAGCAAAAACAGACAATTATAAACCAGAGACATCCTGCAGGGGAGGAGGGAGAGGGATCAGAGGGAGGGAAGGAGGAGCACAAGGGACTGAGGTGATGGTGCATGGGTGCATTGGTGAAGGAAACTCTATGGGGACTACAACTGAGGGGATGGGGGGAAGCAAATATTGTTTAAAAATGAACCATGATGTAAAAAAAAAAATTAAAACGTGAACATCCTGAACAAAACTGAAAAGACAATCAAAGATCTAAGAGAGGAAAATTTTTTCCAGAAGGTCAAGTGCAGTTTAGGGCAACATGATGACTCCAACCTATTTTTTCTTCTGTTAAAGTCAAGAAAATTCGCATTTTGATTACAATGCCATCTTTGGGTTTTCCTTTAAAATTAAAAAATGGCACAATGCCATTTTTTTCTCTGCTTGTTTATTTTTCTTTGTATGTCTGGAATAATATTTATCAACTGTTACATTAATGAGGATGTTTCTGGGCAGAATTTGTTTGGGTTTTGGGGTTTTTTTTAAAGATTTATTTTATTTATGCATAAAAGAACTGGGGTATAGGCCAAAGGTGCAGGGGCAGAGGGGTGAGAGGATTCACAAGAGACACAGTGGGGAACAGAACAAGACAGATTGACTGAAATATACTGCTGAGGGGAGCAGCAGGCGAGACAGAAGAGGTCTGCTGAGCCATGTGGTTAGCTCCCTGGCTGGAGATCGAACTCAGGCCACAGTGGCTGGCGAGAGTTTAATAGCACTGAGACTTTAATCTCTTTGCCACCATGAGGCCCTTGTTTGGGTTTTTATGTACTTTTTTGTTTTGTATTGCTTCAACTTTTTATGAAAAAAAAAAAATCATCACTCCAAAAATTAATGAATATTTCTATGAAAGACAAAATAGCCATTTCATTTACCTTTTCTGTCAAGTTGTAAAAGCTAATTAAAATCTGTCCATGGTTTTCTTGATCAAACCAATAAAAATTCACAGAAATGGATATGGTTTTGTCAAGAAAATACCTAATGACTACAAAATTATTAGAAAAGAACATTGCTACAAACTGTGTTTGTGTCTCTCCATAATGCACATGCTGAAATCTAATTCTCAGTGTATTGATATGAGGATGGAGCTCTCTGATGGATGATTAGGTCATGGAATGGACCCCTTGTGAAAGAATTAGCACCTTTATGAAACAGACCTCAGAGACCTCCCTCTTCTCCTCTGTTATGTAAAGACACAGCAAGAAGAAGGCAGCTATGAACCAGCAGATAGGCCTTCACCAGACAACAAATCTGCTGGCATCCTGACCTTGCACTAACTAATTAGCTCTAATTAATGAGAACTTACTTGGGAGTCACTCAGGACACTCACCGGTAAACCTAAATACTAATAGTCTTGAGTTCATATTCCTTTAGAGTAAGACTGATAATACCTATTTCTGCACTTTCTTTAATGTTTTTATAACCTGGAGGAAAATAAGAAAGAAGACCCTCAAAGTCATATAGTATATATTAAAAATAAGGATAAGGGCCTCCCTGGTGGCACAGGGGTTAAAAACACAGCACTATCAAGCTGCAGCATGAGTTTGATCCCTGGCCAGGGAGGTAATCCACATGGCACAGCAGACCGCTCCTGTCTTGCCCACTGCTTCCCTCAGCAGTGTATTTCAGTGGATCTACCTGTTCTGCTCCCCACTCTGTCTCTGATGAATCCTCTCAGCCTCTCACCTCTGGCCTACACCCCAGTTCTTGTATGCATAAATAAATAAATCTTTAAAAGAAAATAGATAAAAGAAATGAGGAGTTTAAAAAAAAACCTCAGTTTTTTAGATGCTAAATAAGGAAGGTTGCCACCAAGTATATAGTAATGTAAGCAAGAATTTTAACCCAATATTAAAAAACAGAACAAGTACTAAAGTGTTTCTAAATTTCAAAAAAGAGACACTTCTAAAACTCAGGGTTGTTCTTTAGTACTTGAACCAATATATGCTTATTTTTTACTGTCCCTGACAAATCATTTATTTCATTACCAGAATATTACATATGTGTAACATATGTAAGCAGAGTATGTTTTGCTTTGTTTTCATTAAAGAAGTGGAAAATGTTCTTAATACCTAAGAAACAAATATCCAGAGACTAAAGAATGCAGAGGATTGAAGCGGTGGAGAGAATTGCCGCCAATGGTAACTTACACAGATTTATCCACAAACAGCAAAAAGGCAAAGGTAACCCATTACCTGCTGAGCCGCAGCATCCTGTTGGACATAAGCTACCTGGCCTGGGTCTGTAAACAGAGTCTAGACAAAACAAACAAGAACACCTTATCAATAGATCTTTACACAGAGCTCAGTTACACAGGAAAAATTATCCTACTGCTAAGCAACAATTCCTGTGAGTGTTAACTCCCAGATTGCTAGTAATAATCCTCCATTACTAAATAAGGTAAAGATAATAATCTATATTTGGTTAAAGCTTTTCATTCAGATGGCTCTTAAGTTTACATAAGTTAACCATCTTCATGATTTTTCTCTTAAGCAAAGACTCTCTTGAGGTCAAATGTCACAGATAATTAAAAAGGCATGTCAAGAAAACGCAAGAAATGTCATGAATGAAGGTGCATGTGTTCATACATTACACTATATATTATACATACCAACTCATGATTAAATGGAGACATACAGAAGAGTATTATGTAAGCAAGAATTAAAATTCTTTCAAATATTAAGTTACGCTCATTGTCAATAGCAGGAGAAGAATAACTTGAATTTAATGTTCCTTAAGTTCTTTTTTGGATAAAGCTAATACAGCCTAATTTTTTTTAATTATCATAAAAACATACTTAAAGGTGTAATAATCTGAGTCATGACACAGCAAAGCTAATTAGAGAAGGAAAATCTTCAAAATTATTTTAGGTGAGCACCACAGAAAATCTCTAATCCAAGAAAACACACTTTCTACTTACAGCCTTTAAAAGACTTTAACTTACCCAAGCCTTTAGAAAACCAATGGGACTAAAAGCTATGGTTAAGTTTTGATTCCAGAGGACTGTAAAACAGTATTTCAGTTAGCGTTAGATTTCTTAGATTTGACATTAAAAAATTATCATAATATAGACACTTAGTAACATAATAATTAACTAAAAATTGAGCACAGCATTCTTTAAATAAACTATCTGTTCCTATTTTAATATAATTAGAGGACTAAAACTAAACTGAGGCATTGCAAAAGTGCCATCTGACGAGCTGGTGATTTTATCATTATATAGATTTGAAAGGTATTTATTAGGGTACCCCATTTCTTCTTGGGGGTGATTTTAGCCTCCTGATCAAATATTGCATGAGGGCAAATTTTTATTACCAGAATCCTACTATAAAAGTATGGAAATTATTTTTAAAGTATTTTAAAATACACAATATAAACTGCTAACAGTAAAAACTAACATTAATATACAAATGTAGAACATTTGGAAACACATACTCCACGTCACTAGCAAAAAAGATAGCAGTAGATTTAACTATAAAGCTTTTACCTTTGCTTCTATTACAGTTTTACAAATCAGTGAGCTATCAATAAACTGCAGTTTATAAGCTAGTAGAGCCCTTATATATTTAAGTGAAATAATCTGTCTGCTGTCCTTATCCATCTTTGATTAAGATCATCAGAATTGAATGCCATTACTGGCCTAGTTCTTGAGCCTTAGAAAAAGGAACAAGCAAACAATCTTATAAATGGTGTCTGGGAAGAAGAACTGATATAAAGCTAGTGCTATAATTCCTTACTAAGTTTAATTTAATAACTAAACTATATCTTCCTCTGCCAAGTTGGTCGTGAGCTTCCTAAGAACACAAATCTGTGTTCCTAAGAACAATATCTGTGATATTTCCTCTGTCACCAACACCTAGCACAGAGACTGGCAGAAAGTTAACATAATCACCAGTGAGTTAATAAACAAACTATAAACACTGATCTTTCACACATGCCTGCGCAGCCTCCACAGGATGGATGTACACCAAGGTATGCTCCGGACCATCCACTGAAGTGTAGGAGGTACCATCTGCCGTGTACACCACCTGCTGGGGTGGACGAACCTGGTCATCGGTATAGACGATCTGAGCCACAGTCCCAGCGTCTGGAACAAAGTGCACCTGGGGCAAAAAACAGCATGTTTATAGCAACAACGATCCTTGTAGATTAAAACCCACCTCACAGAGATCCATGGCTAACCGAGCAGTGCAGGGGACATTTCTAAAATTCGCCAATGAAAGAGAATGGGGATTGGCACACCTTCATCTATGCTGAGATGGATGCCAGGGCCTGGTCACTGATTTACTGTCAATATTAGGCAAATGATTTAAATTCCCTTTTGCCTCAAATAGCCAATGCAGCTGTCGATTTGAGAGAGTATTTAATGGGTGGCTACCTGGACGTGGAAACATGACTGAAGGTTGTAATTGACAACATTACCAAAATTCCAAATACAAATTAATCTATTATGTGAAAAAAATGTCAATTGACTCAAAAGCCAATTGCTCTCAACACATAATAAAGGTTCTACTTTACAACTAATAGTGCCTTTCAGCAGACACATTAAAACAAGGTCACTTTATTTTCTACATGTTCTTTTATACTCCAAGGCCGTACTAGAGAAACAGCAGTAAATGTCTGCTCAATCAGTGGATATAACAGAACTCCCTCTTGTCAGCTGGGTAAAGATACAGAAAACTCTAATGAAAGACTTTTAAGGGGTTTTTTGGATTACCATTTCAGTTGTGACTAGAGTAAATAATTTTCTATCTACAAAGAAATAAAGTAGAAACTGAATTCTGCAAATATTTTCTGCATGGTCAGTTTTGGAGGTTTAAATTGTTGACGGCGAGAGCTTGGCACAGCCTGATGTCTGATGTTGGAGGTACGGTAGCTGAAAACTAAAATAGACATTTGGAAGAGAAATAATTTATGTGCTGATATTGGCATTAGGTACTCATAGATTGGAATCATCACTATTATACTGTCTTGGCTTTGGAACTGGCTATTTTATTTCAGTTTTCTCCAATGAAAATAGTAAATGCAAAAAAAATGATATAAGCTAATTTAATCACCAGAAAGAATCCTGGAGAACAAATGCAATGAATCACCAAAGAAACAAAACAAACTTCCACTTCTACACTAAGAGGTTAGTCTGGTTTCTACATTTTCTTTTTATTTCATTTGATTTGTCCATGAAGATATAATTTATCTGTTGGAAGAATTAGGCATACAACCTATTTAATTGCTGCAAGATAATTTTGTGACTTTAGATTCATTCATTTGTATCAAAACCTTGGTTGGTTGCAGTGCTTTAAAAAAAATAAAAAGGCATCTCAAAGACAAGTTATTAGGACGCTCCTAAACCAGAATTCCTGGCCAGAAGGAGGGATAATTAGGAAAATTGGGAAGAAGGGGTGCCACAGGGGTACCAAGCTCTGCTATACAGTCTGGTAACCCAAAGTGGGGTCCCTATTTTTTTAATGGACTACATTGTTCTTTATAAACAAAATGCACCCAAATATATAGCTGCATGAAAGGAAGTGGTTTCTATTAGAAGCAAAACAGCATTCTGAATTATTTCCTAAAGCATGTCTGGAACTTTTTTTTTTTTTTTTAAGATTTATTTATTTATTTATAGTTATTATTTAAATTTTATTTTATATCCCCCATACAATTACAACCCCCTTATTTTGACCCAAAACCCTCCTTTCCCTGCCCCCCACCACCCATAGAGTGTCTCTGGTTCATAGTTGTTTGTTGATTTTGATATTTTCTTTCTTATTAGTTATTCTTTTTCCTGGTTCCTTATTTAAGTTTTCTAGATTCCTGCTCTGAGTGAGACCATCCGGTATTTTTCTTTTTCTTTCTGGCTTATTTCACTGAGCATGATCCCTTCCAGCACCATCCATGTTGCTGCAAATTGCATGTGTTTATCATTTTTGAATGCTGAGTAATATTCCATTGTGTATATGCACCACATCTTCTTGATCCAGTCATCTATTTTTGGGCATTTGGGTTGTTTCCAAAGCTTAACTATTGTAAATAGTGCTGCTATAAACATAGGGGTGCAGGTGCTCTTTGGAATTGATGTTTCTGTGTCCTTTGGGTAAATACCTAGGAGTGGAATTGCTAGATCATATGGAAGCTCTATGTTTAGCAGGTCAAGAAATCTCCACACAGCTATACATAGTGGTTGGGCCAGTTTGCACTCCCACCAACAGTGCAGGAGAGCTCCTTTTTTTCTACAACCTTGCCAACATTTGTTGTTGCTAGTTTTTTTTAATGTGCTAGTCTCACTAGTGTGAGATGGTATCTCACTGTAGTTTTGATTTGCATTTCCCTGATTACAAGTGATGTTGAACATTTTTTCATATGCCTGTTGGCCATTTGCATTTCCTCTTCAGAGAAGTTTCTTTTTAGCTCTTCTGCCCATTTTTTGACTGGATTATTTTCTTTGTTTTTGTTGAGTCTCATCAGCTCTCTATAGATTTTTGTGATCAGTACTTTATAAGATTTATTTATTTATACAAGCGCTGGGTACAATCAGAAGCATGGAAGGGTGAGAGGATTCACCAGAGCTAGAGCGGGGAACAGAACAGGCAGACTGACAAAACACACTGCTGAGGGGAGCAACGGGCGAGACAGGAGAGGTCTGTCACGCCATGTGGGACCCTCGCCGGCGGCCAGGTATCAAACCAGTGCTGCAGAGGCTGCAGGCAGCTTGGCAGCCCAGCGCTCAACCGCTGCACCACCAGGGGAGGCCCATGGAACTTTTTCTTTCATGTAGCCTGACTCAGACTTTTAAATCATACCAGTTGATCAATTTTATTATTACATTCATTACACTGCTTAAGTAAAACATTTCCATTTAAACGTTTCAATGTTAACTTTCCGATTTCACTAATACTACTCTGTAATTTAATAAAAACTTAAATCCATTTATTTATAATTTAATTTATTTTATTTATTTTTTTTTTTTAAAGAGGCACGTATTTTATTTATTTGTTTGTTTGTTTGTTTGTTTATACATGCACTGGGTACAGTCAGAAGCGTGGGAGGGTGAGAGAATTCACCAGAGCCAGAGCGGGGAGCAGAACAGGCAGAAGGACCGAAGTACACTGCTGAGGGGAGCAGCGGGCGGCAGGAGAGGTCTGCGCACCATGTGGGACCCTCCTCCGGTGGGCGGGGAGCAGCCGGGGATCGAACCGCCGCAGAGGCTGCAGGGAGCTTCACAACCCAGCGCTCAACCACTGCGCCACCGGGGAGGCCCTATTTTATTTTTTTATTAATTAAATTTTTTTTTTTTTAAATTTTCTAGAGGCATGTCTTATTTATCTATTTGTTTGTTTGGTTTATACATGCACTGGGTACAGTCAGAAGCCGGGAGGGCGAGAGAATTCACCAGAGCCAGAGCAGGGAGCAGAGCAGGCAGAAGGACCGAAGTACACTGCTGAGGGGAGCAGCGGGCGGCAGGAGAGGTCTGCGCGCCATGTGGGACCCTCCTCCGGTGGCCGGGGAGCAGCCGGGGATCGAACCGGCGCCACAGAGGCCGCGGGCAGCTTCGCAACCCAGCGCTCAACCGCTGCGCCACCTGGGAGGCCCTAAATTTTTTTTTCTTAAACAGTGTATTCCCAATAGTTCTCCTGCCATCATATCACCTGTGATCCATCACCACAGTCCTTTCTGTTCTTCCCTCCCGTTTTGACACCTTTCTCTTCCTCTCCTTTGCTATATGCTTCAGATTTATGGCCAGTTTGCTATTTGACTTTTTCTTGACCTTTATTTGGTTTCTCTATATTCCATATATACATGATACTATCCCATATTTATCTGTTTCCTTCTGACTTGTTTTGGCTAGCATATTCCCTATTCCCTTCCAGCTCCACCCATGTTGCTACAAATGGCATGAGTTTATCTTTTTTGATTGCTGAATAATATTCCATTATGTAAATATTACCACAGCTTTTTGATCCATTTGTCTTTTTGGGGGTATTTGGGTTGTTCCTATATCTTGGCTATTATAAATAGTGCTGCAATAAACATAGGAGTGCAGGTTTCCTTTCGAATTTGTGTTTCTGTGTCCTTTGGGTAGATTCCTACGAGTAGAGTCACTAGATCATATAGTAGATCTATTTTTAGTATTTTAAGGGTCCTCTGCACAGGTTTCCATAGTGGCTGGACCAGTTTGCATTCCCACCAGCAGTGTAAGAGGATTCCTTTATCTCCACATCCTTACCAGCATTTGTTGTTTCTGGCTGAATGTGGGCTATTCTCATTGGAGTGAGGTGGTATCTCATTGTGGTTTTGATTTGCATTTCCCTGATAATTAGTGATGTTGAACATTTTGAAATCTTAAATTTAAATTATATCTCTATTAGGATGCTTCAAAATTAAGTTTTATGCTTTGGTCACATATTAGGAGGAGCATAACTGCTCCTCTCAAAATTCAAGTTCCTAACAAAAGGGCAGAGGTTTGCCTTTGCTAATAGTCAAAATAACATGCAGGTGATTTTGATGCTGCAGGAGGCAGAATCAGTTAGAGCAGCATTTAAGAATTGCCCAACCTCTGGAGCTGCTGAATCAGTGAAACAGCTTTCAGTTAGAGGTTTGCAGTATGAACTTGAAATGAAAGAAAAAGCCACTCACTTCATACACACACATTGTACTTCATTACACACAAAGAATCAAACCCTTTACTGGATAACACACACACACACACACACACACACACACACACACACACACACACACAAAACCACACCATTTGAGAATCCCTTGGGGGAAAGGCAGTTCTCTGGAAGCCTTTGGGTGGTGGCTTACCTCTTCTAAATCACATTGAGCCACCTCGATGGAGCATGGAGGAGCTGAAACTGCCTTTTCCTAACATGCAAGTTCTGCATGTCAGCTCCCTCCCAACTGCTCATCACCATCTCGAAGCTACTCTTTTTGTTGTCAGCCGGGTGTACCCAGACAAACCCAGACAAAGAAGGGGCGGGGAAGACCATGTTCACCTGTGCAGCACTGCCTTCGTGCTCTGCAGACGTCGGCCACACGTGCGAGCTTTCATCTTTGGAATCCATCCTTCCCTACACTCAGCCCCAGGCTCGGGGCACCTAGAGCAGCACAGGCTGGGGAGCAGTCATCTGTCCACCACGCGCATATCCACGAAGGATGAAAAGGCCTCTCTGCAATGTGCTGAAGAGGAGAAAGGAGCCAAGATTTTAAATAGATCCATGCATTTTAATAAATAACAGTTTCAACCACAAAGGGGAAAAGAGAAAGTTTTGTTAAGAATGACACAGCTGGGCAAAAAGGTCAAAATGGAAAAATTATTTGTAGTAATAATACAGTGTACTCAGTACATGCTTGCTCTGTGCTAGGCACTCATTAGCTGGATGTAACCTTGGTCAAAAATACTAAAGTTAGGACCCTCCCTGATGCATAGGTGTTAAAGTCTCAGCACTATCAAGCTATTACCAGCCACTGTGGCATGAGTTTGAGCCCCGGTCAGGGAGCTAACCCAGACAGTGCAACAGACCTCTCCTGTCTCGCCCACTGCTCCCCTCAGCAGTATATTTCAGTAGGTCTGCCTGTTCTGTTCCCTACTCTGTCTCTGGTGAGTCCTCTTAGCGCCCCCGTACCTCTGCCCTACATCCCAGTTCTTGTATGCATTAAAAAAAAAAAACAACTAAAATTAATAGTGAGGACCTGGAAGCAGCCTAAATGGCCATCAGTGAAGAAGTGGATCAAGAATGTGTGGTCAGTCACACCATGGAATTCGATTCATCCATAAGGAAAGTCATTTTCAGTAAAATGGAGGGAATTAGAAAGAATAATGGGTCATAAATAAGTCAGAACAATAAAAATGCTGAACATTTACATAGCAGATTTGACAAATTAAAATATTTTTAAAAAAACCAATAAACTAGTGGACATTAATAAACACCAGAAGGGCTCTAAGGTTAAGAGAGAGGGGCTAGAAATGGGACAAGGGGACACACAGGATAGTGGGGGGAGGAGAAATAAGCTTGGTTTCTAATCAGTGCAGATGTGTTTATCACAAACTAGCAAATTTTAGGTTTCTATGATTGTCATCTTGTATTTCATAATAATTTCATTTGAAAAACATATTTTTGAATTACATTAGGTATACACAGTGCAGGATACTAACGTCACAAAACAAGGGGAGAAATGGCAAGTGGAAGAGGCTGAATTTTCTGGGGTACAATTTGGTGAACACAAATGTAAACTTTACTTCCCATTTGGTCAGTACAGGAGTGATTTAGTAATCAAACTAAAAGCTTTACTAAACATCCATATGCACTAAATCTTGAAACCTTATTCCTTTCCAAAATGGGTCTTTTAAGGTCATCAACCTTCCCTTTTGATGATGATAAAACACTGACATTTTATTTCTTAAAATATCAACATTTTAAAAGTTAGGTGATATTTACTATTAATAGGGCAGCAGGATGGCCATACTTGATACACCTCCTCCTACTATCCCATTAAAAGGTAGGAAAGGTAAACTATCAGGACATCACTAAACTAAAGGTAAAAAGGACCACTGGCCAAAATTCAGCCAAAATTTTCCCCATTATTAACGGAAATGAGCTGAGAAATATACTCTTAAGTCACACATGCTCCAACTTCTGAACCAGAAGAAAGCCCAAAGAAGAACAAAAAGACATTTAATTACCCAGCGACTGGACCTAACTCTGGAAAGCAGGAACTTTGTGTCCAAAGTGCCTGGGAGCCTCTTCTGAGCACAATACCTGCTATACAGTATATATTCACATACTCACTTTTGGGGGGAAAAAAAGGTATTTGATCATACTGCATCTTTCTATTGCCTGCTGCCAAGTTCCTTCATGTCGGGGAATGTTAGCTGATGTGGTAACTCTAGGTCTGACATGTGGCAGGAACTCAATAATTTGTACAAAGTGGTTTAAAGAAATCAAGGTGTGTAGCAAGAAAAGAGAAGAAGACTCTGAAGCCAACTGACTTCTCAGAAAAGACGAAACTCAAAGGAGGAATAGAGCAAGGAAGCAGAAACAAGAATGGGTAGGATATTCACTCCAGACTGAAGCCCTTTTTTTAAATCTTACCATAATAAGTAAATAGATATTACATAAGATACCAGTAACCCATATAACACAAGGATCAAGGCAGGGGGGCGGGGGGGACATAACTAATCACCTAGCAGATGTGGGGCAAAATAACAGAATAGTTCATTTACACACGGGAAACCTGCTAGTAAAATTTAGCTATAAGGATATGGATACTGCTAACAATGACAGTCCCCAATAATTTCAGAATACTGTTACCAAATTTAAAAGCCCAAGATAATGACAAATCTTTAAGTCAGAAAGCACCGGGAATCTAAAACAGTAATACAGAAGATCTGGTTAGTTGTTTCTGTTCCTTAAAATACAGTTACAAGAACTGCTGAGTTACTGTAACTACTGAACTATTTAACCAAAGTGACATTCTGCCATTATTTATTGTTTAATAAATTGGTCAAGAAAACTGAATTCTAGGTATGGACTCCACTGCTAACTAAGCTTCTTTAAACTTTTTTTTTTTTTTAAACTCCTCAAGCATCAATGACCTTATGTGCAAAATGAGAACATAAAATGGTTTCCAACATCTGTTCCAGCCTTAAGCTTGGATAGGAAGCAGCAGAGTATAGTAGAGAATCCAAACTCTAATCTAAATATTCATCCTGCTCCCAGACTAGAACCACCGCTCACCATATCACTTTAGTCACACCACCTGCATTCTCCGTGCCTCAACATCATCATATACAAGTGAAAATAATAATTACCTCCTAGAGTTGTTACAAAAGTTACATAACATTAAAAATCTAAGCAAAATATCTAGCACACAGTAGGTACTCAAATATATAAACTTTCATATTTTACAGATGACCTGTAAGAGTTTCAGAATTTTCTAAAACATTTCACATTTTTAAAAACTTAGCAGTTTATCAAATAACAAACCCCCTATACATGAACTTCATTTTTGTATGGTTTGTCATGTTTATTTTCCTTTCCTATTATCCATTTGATAGCACAATGTGGAGATCCTGAGATACAGAAGGCAGAGAGGAAGATTTTCAGGAGCTACTTTAGTGCTGTCCAACAGGCAGGTGCTGACATGCTCTGTTAACCAGGGACAGGAACAGGCTTCCTTCCACTCTTCATCCTTTTGCTTCTTCTACAAACTGGGAAGAACCTGAGAACCACAAGCTATTCCTTATCTATGAAATAGTCACCAGAGTCCCACCTTTTACCCAGTTTCCAAAATTAATTAGAGACTATGTTACGTATTTCCAGGAGAAAGACATGCTTGCATTTTCATACTCTCTGATGACTTTATTCAGCAAATATTTTTTAAGTATTTAGATCCTTAAGAAATATCACTATATCAAAAACTTGAAGCCTCAAGTCTAGTTACTTCTTATTTAATAGTATTGCATAGTGGCAAGTATGAGCTTCAGAATCAGACAAATCTAGGTTCTATGACCCCAAATCAAACATATGCTTAGTAAGTGGGACATTGGTAAGCCACAGCTGAGCCTTAGTTTCATCTGAAAATCCAAATTACCTACTCAGCATGGTGGTTGTAAGAATTAATGGTCTGCAGTTTATCGCATCTATAATGAACTTTTTTTTCCCACACATTTAACATCTCTGAACTAGGGATCTCTTTTGCACAGTGGTGTCCTGTATTTGCTGTCACTCGGGTGGCAAGTGGGGATGTGGGTGTCCTTGCCTTCCTGTTGTGACCTTGCTCACAGCCACTCATGAGTTCTGTCCTCACTTCACTGAGCCATGTGTGTTGGTGGCACTACACAACCTGAGTCTGTCATTTTAAATGTCTTCAAAAGGACCGCATTATAATTTGGCATTAAAACTACAAGGCACAGAAACAGCAGCTGGGCATGAATTTGATTAGGGAATCAAATATCCATCACTGGAAAAATGACCTTAACAAAGCAAGGTCAGTAGGGCCTGGGTATAAGAGAAAGCGAGGTGGATGAAGCTGAATATACACTGTTATAGCTGAGATACGTGTAAAAGACGACCTGCCACAGGCCATGTAAGAAAATTCCAGGATCAGCATTCCAGACCGTGAAGACCTGGCTGCTTGCTGGAGGTTCCTGGAAACAGCAGTGGGTCCTCACCAACACTCTGGATAGCACAAAGACACATCAATGGCTGAGTCAACAGTGATTCATTGTCAATGAGCTCTGGAAGTGATGGAATTTTAGGAACACCTCCATTTATTCCATTTGCATTTTTCCCTTTTGGTATGCACGAGAGTGGTGATAAAATTCTATATCTAAAAGCTCCTTCAGAAAATATATAATAAAAATTCTAAATGGCAAAAAGCATTTATATCAGAGTTTCTCTTTCACAATGAGAAATAAAATAATTGTACATCTTCCCACCAACAGTTCAGAGTGAATAAAATATGGTAACATTCGCCATCACATAACATAGTCATAAACATTTAAGAAATGTTAGCCAATTTTTTTCATGATTTGTGAATATTAAACATTAAAAGGTGAGCAAAAACCGTGTTCCCACAAACAGGGAACAAAGGTGGGATTTCCCTGATTACTCAGGGGGTGATACCTTCATAAGACTGACAGCGATGAAGAGGAAAGGGGAGGAAGAAGGAAGATCAACGCTTACTTTCCCAGCAGTAACAAGGACTGGGGGCATCCTGATGTAAAAGCCTCCACTCTCTCCCCTCCTCATCCACACCCCTCACCATCCACCAGCTGACTGTCTCTGCTGGATGAAGCCGCTACTCCAGAAACACCCAAGACTTAAAGTCAAGAAGCTCCTGTTTCATCACCTGCATGTACAGGTGGGAAAAGAAACACAGGTCCACCTTCAAATACATACCAAGGATTACGGTTTGAACTAGAAATACAATTTCACTTTAAATACTGTGTAGTGATGAAATTCCATAGGATTATTGGTACATTATTACAATTCAGAAACATTAAGAATTCAACAGAATTCTGTATGGCCTGGTAACTTATGCCAGATATATCATTACTTACATGGAAAGAAGCGCAGTACCTCATTCTAGATAGTGCATTTACAAATAAACCTTTCTGGTTCATTACAAACTAACTAGCATAAACTGCTGGACCCTTCCCTGAAATCCAACACTAG